ATTTAATTATAAACATTAGAAATAAATAATTTAAAATGAATGAAAAATAATAATTTTATTAATGTTGAATGTATTTTGACTCTAATTAGATTGAAACTTACAAATTATCTGTCTTACCTTTGGCTTAATAACTTCTTCAGTATTTTAATTGAAACTATGCTTCAATATCCTTGCTTGTTCATTATTGTATAATTAATAAAATATCATTTAGAAGTATAGTCAATCTTTCTTTCTATCTTAATCAATATTTTTTTTTCATTTACTTGATCAAGTTCAAGTTTTTAAATTTCCATTTGAACATTCAGTTAATATTTTCAGCATTTTAATTTAAAGGACATTCTTAGAATATAGTTTTGAATTAGGTAAGGAGAATTTTACCGTTATTTGGCGGATTCATATTTGTATGTCTTAATGTATTTTGGCTGACTTATTTTCATAAATCAAGAAAAAATTTGAGTATTATTTGTGAAAGTAATTTTAAGTAGGAATTGAAAAGTTAGGAATATAAAATTATAACCATTCATAAGGATATTAATAGAGAAATAGAAATGTTAATTAATTAAAACAATGATTCGTTTAATTGAATTAAAAAATATATATATTTTGATTAGAAATTATTAAATCTCAATCTTCTTCAACCAGTCGAGCTGAGTCTTTAAATTAATTTCCACGATATTCAATGATACATTTCCATTTTCAAGATGCTCTAATTGAAAATATGGATTCCATATGACCAATCTTAAGCTGGAATATTCATACATTATATTATTTAAGTATTTATATGTAAAAGGCTTGAACACAAAAAATGATCCTAACATTTCAGATTAATTATTATGACTCATTAAATTTCGTTTTATGATCAATTCTAATAATTATAATCATAAATATTTAAGTATTAATATTTGTAATAATTTCAAACTTTCTTTATTCAAAATTTTTCTTTTCGATTCAATATGAAATAATTCTTTATTTGCTAATTTCTTTTATATCTGTGCATCACCTAAGAGTTTGAAACTCTTTTTTTTAGATATAGTAAGGTCTCCCAATTCAATGAATTGAAATTAGAAAGTAGTGGTTATGCTATGTTTTTTATGATTTTCATTGTTGTATTTGTAATAGAAGAATGTAAGTATATTTAACAGAAAACTATAAAACTTATCTACTAAAATTAACTTAGATAATTTAGTTCAGTTAAATTATTATTAAATTATAATGTCATAAGAAAATTCAATTTCTTAATTTGTGAAGTTATGTACAGCAATATTAATTAATCTGATAATTTGATTGATATTTTGAAATATTATTGTCACAATCCTTTCTAATAGCATAAAAAGTAAATCCTGTCAATAAGCAGGTTTCAAATCCACTTGTTTAAGTCTCATAAATAAAAGTAGATTAATCAAGTTTGATGCATATTTAAACAATTACAAAATCTTATAGAAGAACAATATTGTGAAGATTTAGTCCAACCAAAAATACATTTTCTTATTAATACAGTAATCAAACTTTTATTTTGGGATTGAATATATCCTAATATTAACTTCCTAACATTAGAATTTTTCAGACAATAAATTTAAATCCATTAATTATTGATTTAGAGTCTACCAAAAAGAATTTAATAATTAGCTTTAGTTCCTTGTTAATC